TCTCTCTCTCTCTCTCTCTCGTTTTACGCTTTGGTCCTCATTGGTTGTGTGTCATGCCACTGAGCGTCAGTGGAGGTGCAACTCATGTCCTCTCCAACATCATTGCCCACCTCCCTCCCCACCCTGGCCTTGTTCCATCCCCAACCCCTCTCGATCCACTTCCGGATCCCTTCTTCTCCTTTTCACCGCCTTGCGCACAAACTCTCTTCGTCTCTCTCTTTGCCCGCACATTTGTCCACAATGTGCGCAATGAACTCAAGGTCAAAATCATCATATGTTGTTGTCATGTTATTGGCATCTCCTCTCTGCACAGCAGGCAACCCAACTCTGTACAATGTGACGGCCTTGTCTGCAACAGAAACAGCACGGTCGAGCTTGAAGATAGAAAAGCTTAAGGCCGTGTCTCGGGAGTGAACCGATACAATGATCTCTTTCGTGATAGCTGCAAGTTTTTATATTTGGTCCGCTGCTTTACTGGGCTTTGTCGTCTGCTCGACTTCACTTTTCAGTACCAGTTCCGCAAATGCAAGTTGCTGCAACGTTACGCCAAGGTCGATTGCATCTCTTCTCATTTGAAAAACTTTTGTCAGTGTTGTCTTGACAGGTTGAGCGCCCCACGGATCATTGTCGCTCCTTCTCCATGTTGTATCCCCCTTCATCTCTGCCCGCATCCTATTGCGAGTCGGAAGCTGGTGATCCGTTTGAGATGATCGGACCAGCGGCAGACCTTTTTCGGCCCATAACCAATGCTTCAATTGCCATGATATCTCCCCTCGGACCGTTGTCATAATCCGATTGCATTCCTCGATCACAGCTCGGATTCCGTTCGCTGCCACGTACAACCTTAGTCCTTCCTCAACATGTTCTCCTATCAATTTGACAGTTGTTTGCAGTGCCGTGAAAAAATTGTCCTCCGATGGGTACAGCGTCGCATCCTTTGCTGCTGAAAAAGCAAAGGCCTTCGTCACTGAAAGAAACAGTCTGTCTTTCATTTTCTTTGTAAAACCCCCGGTTTATTGCTCTGTTCGTTCGCCAGCATTACCTCCATCTATGCTGCTTCGTCTTTGGAAATTAGTGCAATCTGGGGAAAAAACAAAAAGCAGACCAACAGATTAATGGTTTAGTGATAAGAAGACCCTCTGCGATATGTGTTTTATGTATTGCAATCAGAAACTGACATAA